TGGGTGGGGGGCAGTGCCTGGCTGGGCACATGGGTGAGGGTATAGCCTGGCTCAGCACAGCCTGGCTCTGCACGTGGGTGGGGGGACACGGCCCAGCTCCTCTCATCCAGACCCCTGGGGCTGCATCTGCACCTTGTGAGGAGTGGGCAGAGGCCCGGGACTTGGGAGGGCACGCGGGTGGGAGACAGACAGGCTCACATGGGGAACAGAGAGAAAGCCAGTGTAGCCCCATGGCCAAGCCGGTTTAAAAGCCGGGGTTCCCTATTATACTTGGGGGCCCAAGGGACCCTGCGGGGTGTATTGAGTGGGGGAGGCACTGGCTTAGATTTGTGCTTAAGGACATAGCTCTGGCCCGGACCATCCGAGGGAGGAGAGGCTGGAGGCCCAGCAGAGGGAAGAGGGAGCCGTGGGGAGACCTGGAGGGGAAGGGAGAGGGAGCAGCGGGGACCACTCCTCATTTACTAGCCTGGGACGATGGAAGAACGGCTGCCAGTTTGAGAAGAACAAGGATGTGGAGGAGAAGATGGTGAGAGACACGGGGAGGTTGAGATGCCTGCAGGATGGATGTGGGGCTAAGATTCAGGGGAGACCCAGGGACAGGATCTGCAAATCTAGGAGTCATTTACACAGAAAAGAGAAACCCACGGGAGTAGATTCGGGCCTCCCAGGGCGGCTGGAGAAAGGAGAGACCCAGACCCAAGCCTGGGGAACAGGGCAGTAATATGGATGAGGCCTCTCCTCCAGGGAGGGGGGGAAGAGGGAAAAGAATATCTGAAAAAAGCCCAGGGGGAAAGGGCATTCAGAGGGGGCAGCAGAGAATCTGGACTGAGGAAAGACCCTCAGGTTGGGCGGGTGAGAGAGCCCTGGTAACTTTGGAGAAAGTCTTTGTTGGTGTTGCGGTCTGAGAGGTTGAGACCCCTCAAAGACTGGAGTACTGGACTGGGTCGTCTGGATCGAATTCACAGCCTCAAGCATTCTTTAAATCAAGGTGGCAAAGATTTATTGTTATGCTTTTCAGCCGGCAAGAATTCTTAAGGAACCTTCGAGAGACTGAGGATGGAGGTGGGGTTTATATGGAAAAGGGCATTGGAAAGGAATGCCAGGGACACTGATTGGGCAATCTAAAGGTGCAGGTGTCTTTGGGAGCTATGGATGGGAAAGTACAGGGAGTATACCGGCCAGGGAGGGAGATGACAGAGGTATGGATCTTGGGAGTCTGGCAGGAGGAAGAGTCCTTGGGCCGGCCAAGGACAAAACTCCTTGGGCTGGGCAAGGCACCCCCCTCCCTCTGCCTTGATGAGAGAATGCTCTGCGACAAGGGAAAGCTTTCTCAACAGACAGGAACTTACTAAGGAATTGGGAGACTTCCAGAGACGTGATCTGAGGGCTGGGGCCTGAGCAGCCCAGCACTCTCTCCCCCAGCTTTGTGTGGCTGCACCAAGGAGAGATATAAGGGTCATGCTGGGGCCCATGCATGAATAACTGCTAGGCACAGTGGCCTTGGGCTGGGGAGTGATGTCAGAGACTGTTTCTGAGGCTAGGGAGAAATTGGGGCCAAGAAAAAGCACAAGCACCCTAGCACCCCATCAGAGTGATGAGGTCACCAACTTGTTGACAAGGGACCGATGAGGGGAAGGAGGGGAAAGAGAGCTACGGGTCAGACAGTTCTTCCTAGATTTGGGGGAGGAAAGCTAGAGGATGAGGACTTGAGGGCATTGTGATGTCTAGCCAAGGTTTTTAAGGAAGGGAGGGGGAGCTTTGGACATGCTGGATGCTACTAGAGAGCTGCTTGATAAGAAGATGTTGAAGATAGGAGAAGAAGAGAGGGAGAAACAGACAAAAAAAGAAAACAGGAACGGTGGCGGGGAAAGAGAGAGAGAGAAGAGAGAGATGAGGATGAAAGAGAGAGAGAGAACGATTTGAGTTTTCAGCTGCAGTCTGGAGATGGGGATAGGATCTCACACCTGTAGATGGGTTGCCTCTGGCCAAGGAGGACCGCCTGATTGTTAGAGACTAGAGAGAAGGAGAACTGGCGGGGTGGCTGTGGGGGATCTCAAGGGGGTAGACGGGGTGTTCACAGTGAATGGCCTCAGTTGTACCAGGGAAGGAAGAGTCCTCGGCTGAGAGAGTGGGGATGAGAAGGTATGGGAGGCTTGAGGAGAGAAGTTTTAGAATAGTTTCAATGGGGAGAGTGCGGGGAATCAGGGAGAAACCAAAGGTTCACGTGGCTGCTTTCGGGGCCTAGTTGAGATTGGATAACTTGGATTTCTCCTGTTCGGTCAGACTCAGCTGACTGAAGCTGCTCTTGTCTGAATTCCCAGACCCATAAATGGTCTGGGACTGAGCAGACGTTGTCACTCCCGGCTTCTGATTCTTCCGTAAAAGTCCCAAACTGTCTCCAGGATTTCATGGCTTTCTCTAGGAACTTTCAGGAGTTATGCAAAACAACTTACTTTGTAAAGTCATGGAATGTCCCAACCCCCTTGCACCTGCAGCCCCTCTCCCCTGGGCCCAAATACTGTATGAGAGCCCCATATTCAGTCCCCTCTTGGGATACCCCAGCACTTGCTGCCTGGCACCCCAAGCTACAACTCACCTGTCCCATGAAAGACCTTAATTTTGCTGAACTGGCTACATCCTCTTTAATTCAGGTTGACAGTCCTCAGCTAGATGGCTGTGAGCTCTTCACTTCATTCGGTCTTAGTGGAGGAGCCCCGTGGTAGGAATAACCTGGGTGTGAGGTTTGGCCAGAGCTAAGAGGTGAGGGGATGAGGGGGGAGGGATCTGACAGTCGAGGACCATGTGGAGTAGATGAATTGATGAGCTATGGGGTTGGCATTGGGAAGGGCGGAAAATGAAACTAGAGCAGGGCTCTGGGTTTCCTTGTCCGACATTGGACATTTTTATCAATGACTTCTCAGATTTATAGATAGGACACACCTTTGCCCTTGGTAGTAAATTCAGGGCTGTCCTGGGACTCAGGAATCCTTGGGTTGGAGTTATTCAAGCAAATACACTGGGTTCAGTGATTGGAGCTATTAGAAACATTTGTTAAAAATTAGAAAATATTAAAACAGCTGTTTGGAGGATAATGGTCTGATGGAGAGTCTTCTGTTAACCCAGTTTGACACAAGGAGACTGGGTCTAATGTACTCCTGTGGGGGGGATGGGATTCTTTATGGAAGCTGTAGAAATCACGTCACTCTGTCAAGTTTTATATCGGAGTTACAACTTGGGAACGGGGTATTTTTCCAGCAGGTTACATCCTGTACTGTCAACTCCTAAGAGTCAGTATCGTTCTGCTTCAGGGACGTCCAGAATGAGGTCAAGAGAAGAGAGTCGAACAATGCAAGTTTTATGAGATTAAACAAAATTCTATCTTATCACACGTATAAAAACTTGCTGTTTTCTGATATCTAGAATTTGTACGCAGGCTAGTTTGAGGCACAGAGTGTGACCCAGGGATAGGGAACCGGCCCTCTGGCCAGGAAGCCTTGGGCTCCAGCCTGCCCCTGCCCCCGCCACGGACCCTGGATGCGATCCTTTATCTGCCAGTGCAGAGGCAGCAATCACTGTCAGCTGCAGAAAGTGCCACCCCCCCCACCATTGGCAAAAGGAGTTTCCTCATCCTGGATTTCTCCTGGCCGGTGAAATCACAGGACCAGTCCTCATCCCTTACCAATGAATACCTTATAAATTTAGAGATCTAGCACGTTTCTAGCTAAGCCTTCTGCATTCATCTTCATTTCTCTACAGAGCTGAGACCCCAGGATCCACAGTTCACCATGTGGTCCCTTCCCGGCACAATCTGTGTCGCAATATTAATATGCTTCATGTTGTCACGATTGAAATTAAGGTAAACTGAGGCACAAAGCTCTGAACACAATCAGTTGGTTGGTAAGGCTAACAGTTACCAACAAAAAGGGTCTCTCAGCTCCTCAGAAAGCTGAAAGACCGATTGAAGGCTGACGGATTATTTTATGGACAAAATGTCAGAAGCAACATAGATATAGGGGATGACGTAATTGGCTGGAAATTTGGAATGTGGGTCTAGCAACAGCCTGTCTTTCCGTCTTTCTGCTATGGAAAGGTCCTTGGTGGTGCCCACCTGCATGGCTAGTTACAGTCACAGAGATACCAAACCAGACTTATCTGAAAGACAGCCAGTGTTGCAGTGGTATCTATCCCCATCCTTCAAAAATAACAGATTTCTGTGACACAAGAACAAAACAGTGGTTAGCAGGAAAACTGAACTTCTAAATTTAACTCAGAGACAATGTGTGATGTACAGGAAAACTGAGCTCAGGGACAAATGAAATGTAACGTAATTAAAATATCAGTAGTACTACAAAATTGAATCAATTATAGAATAGAATCAATTTGATTTTCTCAATTTTCACTTCCTCTCTTTGATCAATGGGAGACAAGTCTCCCTTAGATCACTTACTTACAAGCTAATTCTTTAATATTTTTAAAATATAGTCAATAATAGCAGTACCTGCTAACATTAGCCTTTCTGGTGAAGTTTGGGACAGGCTTTAACGCAGCAAGTCATACGAAGTCTAAGCAGGATCATAAGGCAGAGAGCAATAAGGCCCATTTACCAGGGGTGGCTAACGGGTCATTTCCTTGCAGCCAAGTGAACCAAAAGGACAGATTCCACCAGGGGTCGCTGTGTTTCTGCCGTAACTTGTTGAATGTTTTGGACACTGGTAACAGTTTCCCGATTTGTTGGTGTAAGAACAAGACTGACTAATCATACAGTTAAGCTATAGTAAGCATATCTAAAACCGTGTACTAATTTTGGAGGGGAGATTTACATGTCACCAAGTTAACCAAAACTCAGTAAACATATAAACACCATGGACAAAAGGCCAAAGTAATACAATGATGATCATCAGTATCGTATCCTAATGACTGACTCTCAATGTCATTTTCAAGATGACTGGTGATGGCTCAGGATGCAGTGGATGACCTTGGTGATATTTAACCAAGCTCTAAGCCTCCACAGCGCCTGCTTCAGCCACCTTCATGGCCGTTGGAATAAATTGTTCCCATCTGCCCATTCCACCAGGGGAAGCCTTCACATGCTTGGGGTAGACACCCCCCGAACTCACCAACAGGTTTGAGGTCCCTCGGTTACCCTCGACCCGGCTTAGCCTGTTGGCCAAAATGTTTACTGGGGTGTGGCTGCTGCACATGCTGCAGCTTCTTGGAGTCACAGGTGAGAGT